TCTTAAAGTAAATAATAACAAATAATAATTCCAACTATCATAGTCAGATTTAAGCATTAAAGAATAAAGTAGACAGTAGAGGATGTATCGAAGGACTGTATAAGATCTTACATGATATTGGCATAATTTGGCGAATCAAGAGATAGCGCGGCTACGTTGGCTAGGTTATGTCGTCTGAATGGATGAAGGTACTCCAACTTAAAAAGGAAGGAAAAGTTAAGGTGGAGAAGGACCAGCTTCACTTAATATTGCCGACTATGGTGGATACAGTTGTGATCACGTAGGCAGTGCTTACGCGAATCGAAAGAAAGATGAGAAAGAAGCCGAAGAAGAAGTGTTAGCTAAAGTAGAAGAAGAACATGTCGTCCTGTCATCAGCATTTTGTTTTAACCATACATTGAGACACTTATTTCTTTCAAGTAATTTTCCCGTTCAAAAATTGGCATTACAGAAATCTTGTCGTCTCATTGAAGCCAAAAGTTCTAGATGCCAGTTGTTCCACTTTTCATAAGTCATTTGACGAACTAACATTTTTGATGGTCTTCTCACAATCGTGCGTCACTTAATACAATCAAATTCATATGAAATTCTAAATCAATTTTTAAGTCAAACTATTTTGAAAAACAAAATGAATTTTTAAAAGCGTTTGAAAAAAAAAAAAAAATATTTTTCGGTAATTTGCATAAAATTATGAAGATGAGACACATATTATAAACACAATAACTGCCTTGTTAGACTTGTACAGTCGCTATGAAGAATACACGTTTCATTTATGTACTGGCCTGTGCTAAAGAATAGCTGTGGAATTTTTAATTTTAAATTTGCTCTAACAAGTATAAGTTTAGGGAGTGTTTAGAATTTAGATTTTAGAGCAATCAGTTGGTAGACACAGTAACAAATACGTATTTACCACACAATCAGAAGGTTGACAAGCTACAAACGAGAAATAAAAGTTTGTTTCTTGTTCAATAACATTTTTTTATTTACTACCATGAAGAGGCGGAGTTGAAAACATTTCTTTCATTAAGAGTGCAAATTTCACTTTTTATGTATCTCTTGAGGGTTTTTACTATTTAATAATTTGCATTCACGATTCTTATATAATTCCTTGGATGACAGTACTCTGAAAGACTTACTCATCTGCTTAATAAATTATTTGAAATGAAATTCTTTGTTTTTTATATTAAATAAAATTTGGTGTAATTTATTGTCAGTTATGGTTTATTATCGGATGCTTCCAGGTGAGAATATCCTGTCCACTTGAATGGAGAAAAATACACCATCGCAATCTAAGACGGATGCAAAATAGACTGCGTAGTGCAATCGGGGCCATGCATAGAGATATCCAGAACTCTAATAAATAACTTCGAAAGTAAAAAGAAAGCAGCCACATACACTAAAGATCAAGCAGCACTGCTGGCACTAATGTGTTTAATGATAAATTCCAGCGTCGTAATTAGTTGTAGACAAGTCTCAGACTCACTGGCTGGCCAACTGGACATCGTCATAATTTGGGTTCCCAGGCATAAGAACATTTTTGGTAACGATAAGCTGACGAGTGTGTCAAGTCGAACACATCACTTGAAGAATCCATATCCACCTATGTTTATCCAGAAAGCGCTTCAATTAAAATTTCAGCAAATAGCTCAGAGCAGGTTGAAATACAATACAATTGCAGCTGTAAAATAATGCGTCGAATTTGGTTCAAATTTTAAATGAAAATATGACAGGTTTAGAACTAAGGACTTCCTAAATATGTCGAAGAAGAATATTGATAAACCAAATACTATTTGGAGCCCATCAGGCACCGAACTTTCAATGTTTGTCCACAAAAGACATATGAGGCATAAGTAAAGGGTTTTCCATTTCAAAGTTCCCAACCCTTTTAAAGAAAAAAACACAGTAAATTCAATTTTGTTAGGAAATGTTCATTATTATTTGAAAGAACCTTTTGGAATTTCATTTTGTAAGATTATCTCTTTCTCTTTCTTTCGTTGAGTCCAATTTTCAATGACTTTTTCGAGCATTTCGACTGGCTACTGGCGAATGACACGCGTGAGGTTTTTCTCCAAGGCCTGAATCGAGGCGAGATTGTTCGCATAGACTTTAGACCTTACATATTCCTAGAGGAAAATGTCTAATGGTATGATATTATACGGTCTTGATGACCAAACGCGCAGCCTATCCAGAAATAAATTGAAGAAGGCACACCATATGAAATCGCGCTGTCTGAAATCTCGGTTGGTATCTCGGAGAGGTCCTTCCCGGTTCTGACGGAGCTTTTAGTGTTGCTTAATGTCAGTTTACACAGCCGTATAAATTTTGCGGGTATACCAAATCCAGATATAGTGGCGTAGAGATAGCTCCTGTCGAAGCCGGTTTTAAAATCGACGAAGAAATGGTGTGTGAACTCTTTTATTACGAGTCTTTTCCAAGATTTGGCGCATGAATATCTGGTCAATGGTGGACTTACTAGGTCTGAAACCACACTGATAAGGTCCAATCAGTTTGTTGACGGTGGGCTTCAGTATTTCATACAATATCCTCAATAGGATCTTATATGCGGTATTAAGAAGGCTTATTCCACGGTAATTGGCGCAAAGTGTGGGGTCGCCTTTTTAGTGGATTGGACAGAGCATACTTAGGTTCCAATCGTCGGGCATGCTTTCATCCGACCATATTTTGCAAATAAGCTGATGCATGCACCTGATCAGTTCTCGGCCTGTAATTCATCGGTTCCCGCCGATTTGTTGTACTTTAGGCGGGAGATTGCTATTCGGACTTCTTCATAGTCGAGTAACAGCTTTTTCATCGTCATCAACTGGAATTACGGTCTCACCAACTGCGGGTGTTTCATTTTGACTGCCATTCAGCAGGCTGAAGAAGTGTTCCCTCCATAAATTTATGATATTGTGGGCACCCGACACTAGATCACTCCCTCACTCACTGGGGCTTGAAACCTTCCGTAAGTCACCATATCTTTTGGTAGATTTTTTGAACGTTACCCTTGTCGGCCAGCTTCTCAAGCTCTTCGTACTCACGCATTTCGGTCTCTTTCATTATTTTCCCCTGCAAATCTGCACCGAAATTCAAGTAGATCGTACCATAAATAAATTTTTTTTCTGGGAATCATAGAAACAATCCGACAAAATTTTAAGCACACCGATCGGTAACTTTTGGGGAACACCAGATCTTTCCAAAGGGATTTTAGATTTTTATATATGTAAGAAAGATGTAGATTGAATTCAATTTTTCCCTCCATTGGTTTGCACAAGTTTCTGCGAATTTCCAATTATTTATTTCAATACTTTAAGATTCTACTGATTGTAATAATGAAATATGATTTGATGAAAACAGCAAAGGAAAGTAAAAAGATGGTTTGCAACTGGCAAATGGCAAATACAATTTTACGATTTATTTCTCAAACCAAAAATTATTAATTTAAAATTGCGAAGAGTTCATTAGACAAGCTTGGCTTTTAATCAGGATTAATTGGAACCAAACTAATCGCTGATTGAAGTGTGTAGAAATAATAAGTAATTCATTATTAAGAGGTGTGTATTAATAGAGAATTTTATTTAAAGAAAAAAATTAAAATATTCATTAAAATCTGAATATACAGAAAATTGCTAATTTATTCACGCTGTCACACCTACATACATTGCATATAACAGACAAATTCAAATCTTCATTAATTAAAATAAATTTATATACGAATATGTATATAGTATATATGTTTAATTTTTAAATATTGCGGAAATAATTTAAGTTTAATTTCATTCAAATCGATAAGCAACAAATAAATTTTTTAACGAAAATATTATAATTTCAATTAAAAGAATCGATAATAAATATTATATTACGCTTATGTTTGTATATGGAAGAAAAAGAAAACAAGCGAAGATTGGCATGATGAAAGCAAAAAATCAAAATAAAATAAATTGAAATACAACAACGGAAAGCCACAATAAAAACCTTTATTAGCACAATCAACACGAACTTGATTGGCTGCCTGGCTGAGTGGCTGGCTGACTGGCCGATAGGGTTCAAATGTGGTTGTGCTTCAAATGCAAACATTTTAATTATTTATTAAATCACACGCAAATGACTTTTTTTCAAGTTTAATTTCGCAGCAACAGCAGGAAAAACTGGAAACGGATGAGCAAATATTTGTATTGAACAGCATGCATATGTATATGTGTGTGTTTGTATGAGTGTAGAAATAAACGAAAATTGAAATGAGAATTTATAATAATGAAGCATTAGTAATAAGGTAATTTCAATGTGTGCGTATGCTATATTATTCTACAAAAATCCCACACACTTACATACATAAAAAGCTATTAGAAAACTACCCCTACTTCATTCTTCAATTGCTCGATTCACACACACACACATATATATATATATATATATATACGTATTTAATAATTCATCAATAGGGGCGCAACACCTGTTCTAATGTGCGCCTGAGAGCACATTTCTGCTCTTTAAAATACAATCACAAGCACAACATAGCGCTCGCGCAGCCGATCTTGGCTCGGGAAGGAAACCTGTTTCTTGCATATGCTGCTGGGCCGGCAGGTTTTTGGGCTTGAAACGCACCTACACAGCTGCACAGCGACAGTCAAGAAGTAGCGAGCGCTCGCTTAGTACAAGCTTGTTGGCTTTTTGTTGTTACAGCCGCTGTTAATTTTGATGATGCTCACTACAATATATTCTTCTTCGCTGATGATGCGTCCGACTTTGTCTCGGATATGTGATCGGTAATGAATTGCTGCGTCGGCGTCGTCGTCGGCGTCGTTGCTGACGTTGACATTTGCGCTTGCGTACCTGTACTTCATCAGCAAATATTGTGCCTGGCATGCGTACATATGTATATGCATAGTTAAACATACATACTCATATACATACGTGTATTAGCGTGGCAGTTCGCGTACGTCGCATTGTTATTTTATTTCAACTTTTTTGTTTGTTCGTTGGTTTAGAGATGTTGTTTCGCAGTTTGGGATTTTAACTGAATTTCGCAGTCTTCATTTATATTGGCAAGTAGCGCAACGAACATCTTCAGTTCTCCCAGATCGGTCCAAACGGTACGGTCTAGCAAAGTAAAGCTTTTTTCAAAGTTTTAACAAAAAACAATTGTAATTTAATAGCATAAATTATTTCTTGGATTTTAACACTTAATATATAAGAGTAAAACAAAATTTGACGGCAAAAAATGTTTAAAACCATAATTAAAAAAAAATATATAGTATATTAAAAAAATTCCTAAGTTAAAAGTTGAATTAAAAGTTCAAAAAACAAAAACATTATTTCAAATGCATGAGCAAATATGAAATATAAAAATTACGAACATTTGTGCACGCAACTATTTAAAGGATACTTCAACAAAATATAACAGTTAAGAGACACTTGTGGCTTGCTGCATTACAAAAAAACAATACAACAAAAATACTGTGTTACCAAACTACAAAAAATTATGCAAAAATAATTTTAATATTTTATCACTTTTTTTTTAAACATTTGACGCTCTCAAAGGATTAAGTGTTAAACTACAATAAATAAATGCTGAAAGTGTTATTATTTGTAGTTGCCGGTCAAAATTAATTTTATTTTTTTTTTCTCTTTTAAAGATTTTTCAATAGATCGCCTAGAACTTTTAGAAAAGTAATTTACCTTGCTTTAAGCAAAATAAAAAATCAAAAAATGGCGCGTGCAGTATTTTGCATGGTAAGTTTTGAAATATTCTGAATATTTTTGTAGAGATAACATAAAGTAAAATTTCAGTGCATGCTAAATTAAATTAAAATTTTTAATTAAAAACATTTCAATGTAAAATTTTTGTAAAAATAAAAAAATATAATTTAAAAAAGAAAATATGTTACTTTGCTTTGCTTAATGGCAAAATGAATTATATAATAATTATTTAATTAATCTCAAATATATATTAGTTCATAAAGTGTGTTTACATTATTTTAAAAAAAATTTGTTTTTTATTATTATATAAATAGCTTTTTATAAAAGTCAAATATTCTTTAATTCTAAATTTACTAAAATTACATTGATGGAATTGAGGAATTTTAATGCTAAAGTCTCATTTATAAGTTAATTGAAAATGTATTGAAAAATTTTTTTGCTTAAATCTATTCAAAAGTTTTAAATAATTTATATAACATCCAACTCATTTTTAATTGCTGAAACTTTTTTCTTGTATAACTTTTATTTATTTATATTCTATTTTTTATTTATTTATTTAAATATTTATTTCTTTTGTATTTATTATTTATTTATTTATTTATTTATTTTTTTAATATATAACAACTTTTTTACAATTTATTTATTTATTATTATTTTATTTTTTTTAATTTTTGACTAAAACTTTAAGAGCTTTGTAAAGATTTTATAAGAATACTTGGTCTCTTTTATTTTTAATAATTTTATGTCGTTAGCATTTTGGTCTGCGTTAATTAAAGATTCTGTAGTGTGTAATGTATTACTTACATTTCAAACAATAGTATTTATTATTTTTTTACAAAGCTCTTATCTATCTTTCTAAATTTCTTTGAAATACTATAAAGTTTATTTTCGTTAAATTTTTAAACTTTTTTTAAATCAAAAAAAANAACAATAATATGCCTGCTATGTAAATTTATATAACTTTTTTCCAATAAAGCCGCATGCGGATATAGTCTCAGCTAGTTCCACTTACAACTTTTCTAAAAATACAAATATGAGCGTTAAGGTTTTTACACTCATTTATACATACACGTATCTATAAGTACTATTTAAAGACGCTTGTTTTATTTTAAATGCCATGAAATTTAATGGCTGTTGGAAACTCTTTTTTTGTAAATTTTTTAAATAAACATCATTCTAAATCTTTTTTTTTATATTTTTATTTTTTTTTTTTCTAATTCTTGCCAAGTGAGGAAAGCCATAAAATGCATTTAGCGCGCATTTGCTCAGTTAGCGTTTTACTTAAGCTGTAGCCTCGCCTTTGAGCGATCAGCTGTTGATGCATTTAGTTCTATATACTTACACATGTATACACATACATATTTGTTTAACTGCATATATATATACATACATATAATATGTAAATGAAAGCAGCCTACTCGCTCATATTTCTAACGACTCTGTCTCTATGCGGAGCTTACAAGCCTCTGTGTTGTGATTTCCGCTTAAGTAAATATTTATGTTGTAATATTTGATTTTATGTGCGAAAAATTAAAAAAAAACAACAAATAATCACACTAAAAGTTCAGTAAGAATTATTACATACTACAATATAATATGAGTAATGATTGAAAAGGTTAAAAATCGCATAAGTGCGAAGAAATTGCTTTCCTTATGGCATGACATAACATCAGCTGGTATTAGATAATATTGTGCAATAATAAATACTATTTGTAAGCTTTCATGCAATGACAACACACTCTCTGAATTTACTGTTGCTTTACCCGTTCATTTGCTCTCAATAAACAGTTTCAATTGCAACGTTTCTTTCTAAAATATCTAAGCCAAACGTTTCTTTCTAAAATATCTATTTAATTGTACCACAATGCTATAATTGTATTTAACAAGTTCTGGTTTTACCGTTATAAATCTGCCAAGTCAACTCTAACGGTACACGCATACAAATTAAGGTGTATGCAAATATTTATTATACCACAAAGCATTTTTGTCTAACTTCTTCTACTTTTAAGCAAATCTATTTAATTCATTTTCGTACAAAAATAGAAAATCTTAAAAATAAAAAAAAATACACTTCCATGGCAAATAATAAAAACGTGACAGTAACAGCTTTTTACATTAGCAAGCAGGAAAGAGGCACATAAAAAGAAAATAAAAAAAGAAAAAAAACACAGCAGAAATTTCATGTTTATTAAGAATACAAAATAATTAAATGAAGGTCGCAATATTTAGGTTTCTTATTATTCACTGCTTATTGAGCTTCTAGAATAACAATGAAATCAAATGAAATAATGCAAATAATACCGGTTCTCATATTTTTATAATGTTACTTTCACACTTTTGCTTTCTCATATTTTCTTCGTTTCGGGCCGAAGTTAAGGCTCTATGAGTCACAGTGATAATTTTCGCACTAATTTATAATTATATCTTAAAAATTCTAAAGAAGTAAAATCTAAGAGAGATTTTCATTCTTCTAAGAAAGTTAGCTGAATGCCCAATGAGCTTATGTAGCTAAGTATAAAAGGTTTGTCTTAAGTCTGCTTAGAAAGAGTTATTAATTAATAACCAAAATTCGACTAAGCCAAAGAAACATGGCAATTGTGCAATAAAATACCCACAACAGCAATGTAAAGTGCCGTTAAATGTATTTAAAAATTTATGTAGCACATAAAACCTAGCAGAAACGCTGTTGCGAATATGAGTTTATGGTTAAACAAATTACCACTTTTCGTTAATTTTACAACTTGTTGCTCCTAATAAAACCTAAAACAAACCTAATGGGAGTGCCCAAATAATATGAACCAAATATGTTAAATGACGTGCGTTTGGACTTTTTCGGTAACAAGTTTTGCTTATATTATAACTTTATATAAAACACGCAACAAATACCGTTAGTTTAAAAGACTTTTGGTGTTCGGCGCTGATGTGTTTGCTATTTTGGCCATTTTGCATCAATAAATATATAATCATACAGACACAATGGACATGTTTTCAATCTATGTGCTTAGTCATAAATATATATATATATATATACGTACATACGTACATACACATTTTTTTATGTTTGCAAATTAAACACACAAAAAGTTTTCCTTAACAAAAATGCATTTCTTTTATTTTTGAAATTTTATTTACGTTTAATTTGCTTATGCCGTTTCCTTATTTCGCATATCTGTAGCTTCTTACAAAACCTTCGGCTTTCGATAAATTATTAATGAACTGAGTAGCTGACGTAGTTTTGATTGCCTTCAACATCGTATTTTTTGAAAACAAAAGAAAAAAGAAATAATATTTGCTGCAGTCCCTTTGGTTATGGCACTTACGAAAAGCAAAAAAAAAAAAAAAAATCAAAAGGACAAGGCATTTCCTTCAATAATTCGTTTTGGGGATTTCAATTCGGAAATTGTTATGCAAAAAAAAAAAAAAAATATGCAGTTTTTGTTGTTGTAAATTTTAGTTGTGTATTCGACTGGAACTTCTTTTTTTCAAGTTGTTTATCTATTAATGCTGACCCTTTATTGTTTAACACATTTTTTGCTTGTCTCTGTATGTTTGTTTTGCTTACCAATCAATTAACGTTAAATTACAAAATGTTTTTTAGCATCATTGGCATGGCCAAGAAAAACATTTTGTCAGATAGAGGTTAGTGACGCCTACAAATGCGTGAGCAAAAGAGCTTTAAGATTTTTATTTTAATAAATGCAAAAATGCGATTAGCCGGAAGTTAAAAAACATTTCTCTACTAAGTGCTCTGGAAAGCTAAAATTTAAAAAAAAAATTAAATAAAATAAAATGAAACAAAATAAAAAAAATTAAAATAAAATAAAATAAAATGAAATAATATCAAAAAAAATAAGATAAAAAAAATTAAATAAAATAAAATAAAATAAAATAAAATAAAATAAAATAAAATAAAATAAAATAAAATAAAATAAAATAAAATAAAATAAAATAAAATAATAAAATAAAATAATAAAATAAAATAAAAATAAAATAAAATAAAGTTAAAGTAAGATAATTAAAGGTTAAACAAAAATATGTAACATTTTGCGCCTAATAGATAAATGAAAACACTACGATATGCATATAAATCATTTGAATCAAATTTTTAAATTACCGAAACAAAAATTCGTTTACTGCCAAATTTAAGTCTTCGAACGTTTTGTACATAAAATTCACAAATGTGTACAAGCAATCACATATTTGTATGTACTTTTACATACATATATATTTCATTAGTTTCTACTTCTCGAACTCATCTTATAAAAATGATTTGCGAAAACCAAAAGTGTTAACCATTTCAAGGCTGTGATTTTGTGCTAAATATTAGCAAAATATACATAATATATGCTCAATCTACAATATATTATCAGTACACTCGCTCCCAGCCAGTGAAGCCAGTCAATAAATGTGTTAATTCATTTTTTGTTCAATTTCAGAATATTTTTGCTTCTTCTTTCTTTTTGGCTACATTAAGCTGTAGATTTTGTTAAATTGAACCCATTTTCTATCAAGGTGAAAATGCATTTGATTGCTAATTTAATTACATATAAAATAAAAAAGGCGGTTGGCGATTAAATAAAGTGGCAAAGTGTAAACTTGTTCATTTAGTTTGCAATGTTTGTTTGTTGTTTTTTTGTTTGACATCCATTGCTCGTGCCAAGGTTAAAGGTATTTGACCCTAGGAAAAAACAAAGACAACATGTTGATTGATTACAGATTTGTTTTTGATCGTTGATGGCTTGTTTATTTGTTGGTGACAGAAAATCAATTTTATTTTACTTTCACTCAAAAAATATTGCACAGGTTGTCTGGCTCTATAAGCATTAGAAAATTTAATAATAGTTAGTTAAAGAAATACAAATTTTGGCAATGAATTTTGGAGGTAGATTCCCTTGCTTCAAACCATAAAATGTCTGCTTTGGTATTAATAAAATTTGAATAACTGATGAATACGATGACTGCCACATCGCTGCATGAACTTTTAGAATTTCAACTAATTGATAAAAATTAAATTTAAATTAACAATTTTATTA